TGGTTTCCGCCACCACCGAAGTGATGCCCACGCATCGACCGTGGAACCAACCCTGGCAGCAGTCGCAGCAGATGTAGAACTTGTTCGAGTCGTACGCCTGCTGGCAGATGCAGTACGTGGCCGTCAGTTCAAAAACTTTCGGTGGCTCGGCCGGTGCTGGTGCTGCTGGTTTGGAGGAGGACGAAGTTATCAAAGCTGTGGTGGTGGCTGTAGTAGCTGGGGCTGTGACCAGGTTGGTCTTGGCTGAACTACCAGCAGTAGTAGGTTCAACCATGACCTTGAACGAAGAATCGGTAGCGGGAGTTACAGTGGTGGAGTTCGTCGAAGTAATACTGTTAGCTGACTGCTGCTGCTGCAGGATTACCTTCTGTCCGCCGTTCGCACCCGGCACAAACGCCGATGAACCCGCAGAGATCATATAGGTGGTCTGTCCCTTGCCATTGTCCACCGGTTTGTTGTTGACGGCGGTGGAGGTGGTAATCAGCCGCAGCGGCGTTCCTGAGCCGCCCGAGTTGAGGGCAATCTGAAAGGTCTGCCCGGGGGCGGTGGGCAGCGAGCTGATCGGCAGCAGGTGCGTCCGCCCGTCGCTCGTCTTCAGCTGCACGCACTGGATGCCCTTGCCAATGGTGGGCGTGGTCGATAAGGGCGTCACAATGTTGATGGCGCCCGTGGTGGTGGTCACAGCAGCAGTCGACTGTGCTGGTGTTGTGCTCTTTGCAGCCGAGCTGCTGCTGCTGCTGGTCGCCTGAATGGCGTTCACCGTAGTGCCGGTGGAGATCTTCTGCGGCCCCTTGGGCTCAATCAAGGGCACCGCCTGTTTGATGTTCGGATTACCGCCGCGAACAATGTCGGGCAGTGCCCCATTAGACCACGAACCAACGTTGGAGATGATGAGGGGTTTTGCAGTGCCAAGACCACCACCAGCACCGGCGTTCGCAGGCACGCGAACAATGTACGTCCCCGGACGAGTGGGCGTGATGCCTCCACTGCCACTCACTGCGTTCGAGGTGACAATGACATTGCCGCCCTGGATGACAGAAGTGGAGCCCTGCTGTGCAGCTGCAGTGCTAGACGATGTAATGATCTGCCCTCCAGTGCGGAGAAAGAGCTGATTGGGCGGGGCGCCCGGTTTGTTGTGCACGGGCACTCTAAAGGTGCCATTGGCCGTTCGGATGGTCGCATAGGTGGTAGTGGCGGTGGTGGGCGTGATGGTACCGCTGTTGACGACGGGCGAAGCAGAGGCAAGCACCCGGTTGGCGGCTCGGTTCTGGAAGATGCTCGACAGGCGAGAGCTGATGGCCTGCTTCGTGTTGATGTTCAGAGGGCTGTTGGTGGTGGGGGTGGTGGTGGGGGTGGTGGTGCTGTTTCTCGCTCCGTTGACCAGCTGTGCTCTGTTGGCTGAAATGGGCGTTGAAGCATTGCTCTTCCTCAGCTCTGCCGCCGCCTTCTGCCGCAGCTCAGCCTGCCGCTTGCGCTCCTCCATGATGGCCCTCTCTGCAAACTGGCGAATCTCCCACAGCTCCAGCTCCTCCTCATTGAGCCAGATCTCCTCCATGCGCGGCCCCTTCACCGGCGGCGAGACGGGCCGCTTTCGCTGACGCAGTCCACTGCGAATGGGCGTGGACACCTCGCAGCTGGGCGTGCTGGGCAGGTCAATGGGCACGATGATCTTCCGCATGAGGTACTGCGAGCGGAGGCCAAAGGGCGGCAGGTCGCGCCGTCTGAGAATCTCCACGGTGGTCACCTCGCTCTCCGTGGTGATCGTCTTCACGCTGGAGCTGGACGGCGGCTTCGTCAGCATGTACTGAATGTCGTCCCAGCGTACAGCCGCCCAGAGAACGCGCAGTTGATGGACGACGGGCGATGGGACAGTAAACACGCCCACCGTCTTCACTTCCACCAGATCGNAGCATGTACTGAATGTCGTCCCAGCGTACAGCCGCCCAGAGAACGCGCAGCTGATGGGCGACGGCGTGCAGTGTGCCCAGACAGGCGGTGCGCCAGAGCCACATGAGGCGCAGGCTGGGACGCGGCGTCTGCCCGTACGGCCAGTTGACATTGTTCGATTTGCAGACGTAGTTGAAGCCGATCACCTCGCGGAGGCCGCCATTTCTGCCCAGTTTGCGCATCTCGTACAGCGGCAGAATGAGCATGCTCTTGTACTTGCCCACCATAAAGCGGGTGGCCGGCGGGAGGACGCTCTTGAAGGGCACAATCTTTCTGATGGGCACTGGCACGTTGGCACCTCCCACAGCCTTCACCTCGAGCAGCTCAACGTGCTCAGCGGGGTCGTCGAGGGGTGATAGTTTCTCCACCACTGCTTCAGTTGCCTCCTCTTTTACAGAGCTGTTGGTGGCTTTTTGGTGGTGGTAGATGCAAAGTGGTGAGTAGCATTTCAACTGTTGAGAAGAAGAAAGTTGTCCAGTGGAATGACAAATAGCTGAGTAGCAGCGGTACGTTGAGAAACCGCCGGAGTTTGCCGTTTTAGCAGTTTTCTGCTCCTCTTCGGCTTTCTTATCAGCAGCAGCAGAAGTAGCATCAGCCGTAGCCGTAGCAGCCTCCTTCTCTTGGCGCTTGTAAAATGCGTACAAGTCAAGACGTGTCTTAAGTAGAGAATCAAGTCGGGACGAAGACGGGCTGCTGGTCACCTTTGAGTATTTTCGGTNTTGGTGGTGGTAGATGCAAAGTGGTGAGTAGCATTTCAACTGTTGAGAAGGCTGGCCAGCAAAATGACAAAGAGTTGAGTAGCAGCGGTACGTTGAAGGATCGCCAAAGTTTGTTGCTTTATCAGTTTTCTGCTCCTCTTCGACTTTTTTAGCAGCACCAGCAGCGGTGGCAGCCGCCTCCTCCTTCTCCTGCTGCTTATCAAATGCGTACATAACAAGCCGTGTCATAAGTAGTGAACCTGCTGCCGCTGCTGCTGCTGCTGATCACCTTTGAGTATTTTCGGCCCTTGGCCGGCGTCTCATCACTTAAAGCTGCGGAGATGTTTATCACTGACGGTTCCATATCGTCGGTTGCCTCCATAGCCTCTTCCGTGGCCAACTCCTCCTCCTCCTCCTTCTCCTCCTCCTTCTTCCCAGTGGCCCCCAGTGCCTCCTGTGGCCTGACCCGTGTGGAGCTGACCCACTGCCAGCCGCCAATGCCACTGAGGCGAAACTCCTCGCCCTTCTGCTTCCAAATCTGGTGCTTCAGCTTGCCACAGACCAGTCTGACGCCAATGCCTGCTCCGTTAAATCGTCCTGCGGCAGATGATGGCTCGCTGCTGTCCACTGCCATGCTTTCATTGGCATTGCCACCACCACCGCCACCTCCTTCTTTTCGGTCTTTCTTTTCCCGCTTTTTCAGCTTGTCTCTCTCCGCTTGAGTACTGGGCTGAAGAACCGAGAAGCCCAGTGAATCATGCCAGGCAATGTTGAAGAGCACCGGCTTCATCGACGACTCCAGAATGTGCATCGCCAGGAGGAACTCCTTCGCCTCTGAGCACATGGTCACCGCTTTGATCCAGTTGCTGCGATGCACACTCCAGTTGGGATGCATGAATGTGAGCGTCAGCTGCGTCTCTAGATTCAGTAGCGTCTGCCGGAGAATGTTCACCATCATTATCCTGGTGCCGTGAATGCTGGGCGCAGAATGTGCAG